GATCATCATGATTTCCCAAAACAATAGATCTAGGGCCTTCCGATGTCCCAGCCTCAGTATTTATGCGCATGACTAGGCTAGGAATCAAATCAAATCTTTCTAGAAGATATTGATTAGTAACAAGGTGATTCACATCAACAGATAGTTGATCTTCATTTACCACTTTCTTTTGTTTCTTATCTTGCACCTTGGAATTGCCTCTCCCCCTCTTGCTTCCAAGAGGGATAATTTGAGTGGTTTTATTTGGTACCTCCACTCTTTCTGGCACATTCCTTGCAGGATAGAAAGATTTAACAACACCTTTATAGTTGGTAAATGCATCTGGCAGATTATTTACAATGTTTTGCAAATCTATAAGTCTCTGAACTTGATGTTCAGTTTCCATAGTACGTGGATCAGAATAGGAAATGCCTTCCGCATTCCAATTAATTTCCCGGGATTCATTTTTATGGTACAAATCTCCCCCTAATGCCGGAAAATGATCCTCGTTGAAAATACAATCAGCGAACCGAGCCTTAAATAGATCCCCGGTGAGGGGTTCTATATACTTAATGATCGACGGAGATGTAAATCCCACATAGATCCCCAATTTTCTGTGTGGCCCCATAGAGGTACGCTGAGGTGGTGAGATGGGTACATAAACAGCACACCCAAACTTACGCAAATGGGAAATACTTGGTGGATTTCCATGTACTAATTGCAAGGAGGAATTTTCATGATATGCAGTCGGTCGTAGTTGGATTAATTCAGCAGCGTGCAGAACTGCATGACCCCAACACGAAGTAGGCAACTTACAATTCATCAACATTGGTCTAGCAATGAGTTTAATTCTCTTTATCAATGATTCAGCCAAACCATTTTGAGTGTGTACATAAGGTACAGAATGTTGAACCTCAATTCCCGTTGCCATACAATAATCATTAAAGGCATGGGATGAAAATTCAGCAGCATTGTCCATTCGAATTGATTGAATTCGATGTTCAGGATAATGCGCTTTCAACTTTATTAGTTGGGACAATATTTTGGCAAAAGCATGGTTGCGTGTCGATAATAATGACACATGAGACCATCTTGTAGATGCATCTATCAGAACCATGAAATACCTAAAAGGTCCACATATTGGCTAAATTGGACCACAAATATCTCCTTGGATTCTCTCAAGGAATTTTAGTGGTTCAGCTCTGATTTTAAGAGTTGATGGCCTTAAAATCAATTTCCCTGATGCACATGCAGTGCATATAAAATCCGAAGATTGTGGGAACTTTGCTTTATGCAAATTATGACCAAATGAATTGCAGATAATTTTTCTCATCATCCCTATTTCAGGATGACCCAGTCTATCATGCCATGTCTGGAATGAATTAACATTTTGAAAAATTACCTTATATGCAACATTAGATATAGGTTTTATGTATGTATAGTACAATCCAGATTCAAGGGAGGGAATTTTCTCACAAACTTGTTTGCTAGATCCAGTAAGTCTAGTGAAGAAAATGAATTCTTCTTTGTTATCTACATGTGTTTCAACATGAAGACCATTCTTACGGATATCTTTATAGCTTAACAAGGTATGAGATGATTCTGGATACAATAATGCATCCTCTATCGTTAATTGCGTACCCATAGGGAGAATAATAGTGGCTCTACCCGAACCAACTATTAGAGCATCACGTCCAGCGATGGTCATAACATTTCCTTCTCTTTTCCTAAGAGTCTAGAAATATTTCATCTCCCTAAGAATAGTGTTTGTGGTTCCACTATCTACAAGACATAATTCCTCCTCAGGATTGACATCATAAGACATCTATAGTAAAATAAGAATGCAATTAAATTTCTTATTGAACATATAGAATCACATACATAAACACAATGTATTACAATACCAACATATGAGTATGACATTACAATACATATTTATTCTCACAATACTCCCATCACTAACAAGTATGTACAACTCAAAGAATATAGAGTTTGCACAACTTAAATTATTACAACACTTGACTTGCTTAATATAATAATTAAACAGATATCAACTACGGATCGAGATCTTCAGTTGAAGTCTCCATACATGTCATTTGAGTTGAACTCCACGATCATGTCTTCCATTCCTGGAAGCCTCTCATCCTTGTGAGCATTGTTGTTCTTTGGTTCCTCAAGAACCTTGCTTGAACAACCCACTTCCTTTATAGCCTCAGAAGCAAGATTGAAATGAGCTTCATATCTTGTCTCTTTATCTTTGCCTTGCTTTGCTTCCTTTAAGGACTTTTGGTAAAGTGCAACCAAGTGCTTAGGAGTACGACAATCCTTTGCAAAATGGTTGAAAGTTCCACACCGATGACATTTAGTGTCATTTTTGGACTTAGCCTCGCCATTTTGCTTATTTTTAGCATTTGGCTTTTGCTTTTTGTTGAACTTGCGCTTACCGGGCTTGTTCTTTGGATCATCAGAAGAAGATCCTTCGAACCTTTTATTATTCTTAACTTTTTTCTGTACATTATGAACTTCAGGAAGAGGTGCTACACCAGTGGGATGCTTGTGATGATTCTTCATAAGAAGCTCATCATGTTTCTCAGCCTGAGTTAATGTATGAATAAGTTGAGAATACATAGTGTAATTACTAGCCCGATATTGCTGCTGCAAGACTCGATCAGCGGGAAGCATGGTAGATAGAGTCTTCTCTATCTTATCAGCATCCGTTGGCTCATTCTCACAGAATTTCAACTTTGAGCAAATTTTATGAACGGCATGATTATAATCAGCAACGGACTTAAAGTCCTGCAAACGCAAGTGGTTCCACTCATGATTAGCCTCAGGCCAGATGAGTACCTTTTGCTGATCATAACGCTCCTTAAGAGCAAGCCACAAGGTACGGGGATTCTCTTCCAGAAGGTACTCTTGTTTGAGATCCTTATGGATATAATACCTTAAAATCATTAAGGCCCCGAACTTCTTTTGCTCATCAAGCACCTCCCCCGCAATGGGTTCATTTATATATGCCAAAAGTCCACGGGATGCAAAGTTTATTTTGATATCCGAAGCCCAAGTAGGGTAATTGTGGCCATCTAAGGCAAGTTCATCGAACTCCTTAGCTAAGGCCATAGCCTACAAAGTAGGACCATTTGATTCATTAGACTTATACGTGGTAAATTAAAATTCAAATGGTAAAGCAATGTTGTAATAAATGCAAATTAATTTAAATGACATAACTTATCATGATTAAGACAATCCAAGGTAGACAAATAAACATGTAAACCCAATTATAACTCTCATCAATTGACTATATATGGTTAGATAATCTCAAATGCCAAAGGACATAGAGTAGATCTTAATAGTAGGCAAATAATTTGCTGCCTAAACACGGTCTCAAGGCTGAATAATTCATTTTTGAATTAGACACAGCCAATGCTTAAGACTCTACTACACCATGTATAGTACAAATTAATGATTAAACAATGGTAATCACTACAATAGTGTAAGCCATAAATTTTCTTTAGTCTTAATCTTTTATTTTGAGAACAAAACATTATATAGGTAATCATCTAGTCCAATGGACATGATGTAGACCTTTAGTAATAGGTGAATAAATCACAGCCATGGCACGGTCTCTAGGCAAAATAATCCAAAAAGGATTAAATGCAGCCTTTGCCTGGACTCTATTACCTAATGCTTTCATCTCAAAATAATAGAGATATGCATAAATTAATTGCCACAAGTCATCAGTAATTATAAACTAATGAGAACAGCGTTAAGATGGAGTATGTGATTTAAAAATTCGCAATAATGAAATAAGTATGAAAGTGCAAAAGTATAACACGAACATACTTGCATTCTATATTAGAATTCGAAATTGCATAGGTACAATGTAAACAAACACATTTGTACATTCACATAAATATCAGATGTCTAATCTCACAAGAACATAGACACTAATACTAATGAACAGCAGTAATTAACAAAGTCTAAACACAAGGATTAAAGACTAAAACTGCTGAAATTCACAAATTCGGAAATAAAACAGATAAATGATAAATGGCTTCTGGCCCACGAGCCTTTGGTGGCCAGTGAGTCCACTGCGCCAACCCACCCAAGAAGGACTGAAGAAGAATGCCCAGCCCAGACCACAAAGAAGATACTGGCATCAAAAAGTGCGGGCGCCGTAGCCGCCTCCGTCGCCGCTCTAGTCGCAGTTGTCAGACGCCAGACACGCCGATGTTGAGAAGCTTGATTGCATTGTCATCGCGGCGCCAGAGCCACGTCGTCGCCATATGGACCGCCGCTGTCTTCCGCGCCCTCCTCCTCTCCCTCCGTCGCGCCCTCTGCAACCGGTGACGAGCGCCGCGCATATCGGGGAGGAGCCCGCATGTCGGCCCCAACTCAGTCGATGGCGACCAAGACAGAGGCCAGCGGCTCCCCCTCCCCCTCCGGTAGAAGTTCAAGCGGAAGGAGGGGCGCGCCCCCCCGAGGAGGAGGAAGCGCCACCACCGCCGTTCGCGCGTGGACTAGCGTGCCCGTTCTCCAGCGCCGGGACGCGTCCGTTCGCGCGAGGACTTGCCTGCGCGCGTGCGGACGGGCCATGCGGCACGGAGATCCAGGTCCGACGCATGGTCGGGCTCACCACCTGGTCGGCGATGTTCACTGCCGGAGGAGTGGACGGAGGTGGTGGAGGCGGAGCCTACAGGGTCGGATCTACGATCTCACCAGCCTCCCTGGAGAAGAGTCGGAGCGGTGCCGCGGACCTGCGCGCAGCGAGGGTCGTGCGAGCCCGTGGCGTCGTCGGAGATGGAGTCGCGGCTGCGGCGGTTCCGTTTAATAACGGGTCGTCGTAGCTTCTGATAGCCGACCCTGCCGCCGGTGGAGGTGAAGGCCCGATTTGGCGGAAGACGATGGGCCCGCACGGTTGAGGAAGAAGGTCCGGCGATCGGTGGCATGGCAGCGGCGCCCGGTACCCATCGGAGGATCTGGCGCCATGTTCGCCATGGTAGGTGGTATGGAGCCACGGCATGGCCCGAACTCGTGACGCAGGATCAGAATGGCCGCTGTCAGGTCGGCGCCACGGGAGCAGATGCTCCGTGACGACCACGGCATCGGCGACGAGAAGGGCCCTCCTTGGCTCCCCCACGTTCCTCCCCAAGGAGATTGCGCAGGGCGTTGAGGAGGGAATCACAGATGTTGTCGTCGTCGAAGGGGACTCCAATGCGGCGCGCGCGGTAGTACACCATGAAGACGAGGCGCAGAACGAGCGCCGCAGAAGGTACGTAGGGCATTGGTGGCATCGTGTACCTTAAATCGATCCAACGATCTCCTATCTTCACGAAGTCCTTCAGGCACTGTTCCCGGCCTTCTCGCTCAGCGGTAGAACGCTGATAACGTGTTGTAGTATTGTATTATAAACAGTAGAAAGTAGAGAGAAACAGTAAAAGTGAAGGTGTAAACTTTATTGATGAACAGTACACAGATATATACATGCCCACGATGGGGCAGTTCCTGTGAACGTGGGAGAGCCCCGCTCCCACGTCCTGTCTGTACGACGCCTTTCAGTGGTCACGGTAATTGCAATTAGCAGTTGCTAATTGCCCACTAATTAATTATTAGGGATATTAGAATATTCTTAACAGTCCCCAACAATATTATCAGGCGATTTGGATGCCATCTCATCAAGAGAACCCTATATATGTGTTTTTTTTTATTCTACTTTCTCTCTTTGTACCTTTTTGTGGGGGCGCTCTCTTCCGTCAGCAAGACTGTATAACTCTGCAATTCTCTTCCTTTTGACTAAGTTTTCTTAAGGCGCACAAATAGACTAGCGAGGTGTTCATCGCTAGCGTGGGTGTTTTTTGATTTTCTCTTTTTTCCACGTCGGCTAAATTCCTGCTAAATTCCAGCTCAGATAGCTGGGAGCTATGCCGTTGACTTGTGGTTTGACACCTAGAGTTGAGAGCCCCACATTCATAGTGAAAGAACCGGTGACAGGCTCACAAGTCACAAGACCCCATCTAAACCAACGGCCTTGATCTCTTCGCCACTCCTCTTCTCGCACAGCCAACACCTGACAGACATAGCTCATATTCCTCCGCCGCCGCCTCCTCTCCACCGCGGCCGCCGCCCGCGGCCCACCGCCGATACGCGTGTCCCTAACGGAGTCCGCGGGCCGCGGCGTTTTCGCCACCCGCCCAGTCTCCTCTGGCGAGCTCCTCCACTCGGCGCAGCCCCTCGTCTCCCACCCATCCCACTCACTGCTCCACGAGGTGAGGTGACCGCTCCTTGCCCCTGCCAGTGGAACCAAACCAACTGGACTGTTCTGGGCTCAGGTTTGCTACAATTGCCTCAGAAGGAAGCCCGGGGAAGGGAGCGCTTCAAGCGGGGTTTACTACTTCTGCAGCGACGCTTGCAGGGACAACGCCAAGGTGATACCTGTCTGCCCATTTCCTTAGCGATTTTTGCATATCTTCGTGTGTTTCACCTTGGTGCATATTCTTGTGATTCTTAGTCTGCCCTCTTCGACTTACTAACTGTTAGTGGCGAGTGAAATCTGTTCTGTCTACAAGTGTTCATGTCTCAACATTCAGTAGGTCGTAGTATAATAGTGTGTTCTAAGTTCGAACACTAGGTGATGGTACGTGTTTCCAGTTATGTGTTGCGTTTGTGGAAATGCAATGTGGATTCTACCTCATGGATCTTTGAACGAGACATGTTAATTTTCCTTTACATGTCAGAAATATTGAATAATGCTGCTTATTTGCCTGCAGTAAGATAAAAGAAAGAAAAAATGTTCAGCATTTGAGGCTGGATTTTGCTAACAATTCGTGTGGTTTCCACCAATCTAGGGTTTCCATGACATCGACAAGAACGTAGATTGGTCTTTATTCGATTACCACTGCAGGTATGATAGTACTCGCCTTTCATCTTTCTGCAGATGTGCACCTCTTGACTTGTTCATCTTGTGTTTTTCTGTTCTAAAGTTCACGTGGTCTGAAGTACCCATACATGGCCAAGCGCCTTGCTTGCATGGTTATATCAGGAGCTGCTAATGCAGATTGTCTTAACATACTTCAGCCAGCTCGGTTGCACCAGGGGACATTGATTGAGGTAGTGACTCCTCTCCTTCCAGGTCACCCTGAACTCAGTTCTTTTATTATTGTTGTTGTTGTTATTGTCACATCATAATACTAATACAGTAATCACAAAGTTATTTGGTTCAATGCTTATTGTAGCGATGTTATATTACAGATGGAGGAGGAATTTGAGTTGTTGGGGTCCACTTTTAGAAAAGCTGGGTTTCAGGAAGAAGTCACAAACTGTATCCTCAAATTTTGTTTCCTCTCATTGCGACTATTCTTGGTTTCTTACAACTGAGTGTTGAGAAAATTGGGTCTTTCATAGAGTTCTTGTCTCAGTCCTCTTCAAATTTGGTTGTCTTTGACAAAATTAGTTTTGACCATAGATTGGTACATCAATGTATTGGCAAGAATACGCATAAATGCATTTCGTATTGAATTGGTTGCAAGCTCATATGAGGATCTCTTATCCTCAGCGGCAGCCTCCGTATCATGTGATTCATCAGTTGGCAATGCGGTTTATATGCTCCCCTCTTTCTACAACCATGACTGCGGTACGCTCTTCACCTATACATTTGGAATGAATGCATTTTTTTATCATCTTCGCTATTTAAATTTCGTTTTGCTAGCAGTGATTTAGTTGATAGGTTGACCAGCCAAATTCCAGGATTTGTCACCATCCTTGTGGTATGGTGCTTGTTCACTACTCCCTTTGTCCCTTTTTATTTGTCGTTCTCACTTCCCGAGAAGTCAAACATATTTAAATTTGACTAAATATATAAAATAAAATATTATTATTTATAGTACATAATTAGTATCATTAGATAGATCGTTGAATCTATTTTCATAATAAATTTATTTAGAGATATAAATGTTGATAATATTTTCTACAAACTTGAGAAAATTTGACTGACATGAATCGCACGGCGACACTTAAATAGGGACGGAGGGAGTATGCTACGTGCGCCCAGCCGCAGCAGCGGCGGCGCTGAAAGCGCGGCATCCAATTTCGTCGCCTGACTTTTGGCAAGTTCAGGCGTGGAAAATGACTTACGTGCAGTTCAGAAGATGCGGCTGCGCCGGACGTCTGGGAAGCAACCAAACAGCAACCGGAAGTGCGTCATCGGAGATGCGGCGAAATCTGGCGAAGTGTGGGAACCAACCAAACACGCCCTTAGCTTCTATTGCATTTGATAGTGGATGTCTCTGCTAAACTACTCTCAATATAAGAACATATTTAGTTAAGCTTTTGTATGTATGGTAATGTAATAGTGACAGGAGTATACTATTTGATACGATGGCAGAAATTTTTAGGCTGCTTAATATAACCCTTTTTTCATTATGCATTAATGATTCAAATATGCACTATTGTTTGTGTTGACTATCAGATCCAAGTGCTCACATAGTTTGGCTGGATAATGCGGATGCGAAATTGAAGGCCCTCCGTGACATTGAAGAAGGTATGGAGAAATGCAGTGATACCTTTATGGCTATACAGGAGTTCTGTTACACTGGCAACCTTGTGCACAATTAAAAACAAAAACAAAAGTCACAGATGCTAACAAAATTGTTGTATTGAGTTGTTGCATCTGTTATAGGCGAGGAGCTGCGCATCTGCTACATCGATACTAGCCTAGACGCCGACACTAGACAGAAGATTCTTGCTGATGGATTTGGCTTCAAGTGCCATTGCCTTCGGTGCTTGTCTGGAGACTAGAAATCATGTTTACTTTCTCCCAGATCATGAGGATATTGTCTTTGATTGAAGCAGCTTGAGGTTGGTGCTGAGAACCATCTTGCAGAATCTTACAGAGTTGCAATCTTCTGTACACTAGTTACAGCCACGCCAATTGAATTCTTGTGGTTAAGCATTACTTTGGCTTTTGCACTTCCCTACTACGACATGCTAGAAAGCCAGAAATGCTGATTTATTTACTTGAAAGTGCTGAAAGTTGTGTTGTAAATGTTGTAGCCGTTTTTGTTTTGCTTCTTTTTCAGTCTTTAATGTCAAATAAAATTTTGATTAATACTCAGATCATATGAATATCAGGAGACTTTGTAGCTATAGTTGGGGTAGCATTACATATAAATATATCTACTAAAGCAAGGTAGTGTCGGGTGCCTGGCCTGCATGTGCATAGAAGGATTAGGAGAACTGGTGTGCATCAGAATTAAGAGTACTCGTTATAATATTACTAATGAAGCAGGCAGGTGATTGAGGCTTCTGCTCTGCTCTATCTTTTGTTGCAAACGGATTACGCACTGTGAAATACAGAAGAGGCATGTGTATTGTTTTAATTAAGATCCGATCTGGAATAGGTGATTGTATTTTCCAGCCAAGAACAAAATTGTTGTGATTTTCTAGAGAATATCGACGCTCGTCAAATTTTTTCAGTGTGGAAGGCTACCCGAAACAATGAACCTTTTTTTGGTTAATCTGTAGCTGGAAAGTGCTTGCTGAGAGAAAAAAAAAATATATAGTAGTAGTGATCTGAACTCTGCACATTTATCTCATTACCTGCCATGTCCATGGATGAAGAATGATTTAAGCCTAACTAGCAGTAGTAATCTAACCCTTGTATTCACATTTATCTCATGAGTTGCCATGTCCATAGATGAAGAAAGATTTAAGCCAAGATAAGTTAATAACATATCACGCCTTTTTTGTTCTTGAATGGGCAAATGTCGATAAACTGCGCAGCTGGAGTAGAAGGGCCAAAAATACTGATGAATCGAAGGATCCGACAGCATCTTGTTTTGCTGCAATAGTGAATGAGTTCGTTGCAAACATACACGGATCTGGATTTCACGTATGCTTCAAAAAAACACTCCCGCGCGTCGTTCTTAACCATCCTTTTTTACGACAGAAGTGGTGTGACTCTTGGACCTAATCTCTCGGGATAAAAGTAAAAGTGACGTTTAACTTTTGCACTTGAGTCTTCGTTTTGCTTGCATTGCACTGATTCAGTCAGTACATTGCCAGACAATCTCAAGAATTTGTCGCCCTTTCTGTTGTGGTATAGTAGTGGTTACCAAATGTAACAGTGCCTGACATCTCAATAACATCTTTTTTTTTATAACAGGCAATTTATTTATTTCAACAGCATGATGCTGTTAAGAGGGAGAAGCACTCCCAGGTTACAGAGTTCAGAGCCTCTCTTAGAGGGCATCTGTTTACATGAGACAGGTTTGAACACTGAAATGATACTTCATTTGCAGACCTATTTGTAGACTGAAGAGCTTGAGAAGCTAATGAGTGTACCGTGCAATTCTGGTTTCTTGCAACCTTGTAAACCTTGCGATTGTTTGTAGAGTAGTAGTTGAGGAAAGTCTGTGTGTAATATCTGATGTTCCAGTGAGGTGGCGAGTAAATAACATCTTTGTTGTTTGGCCCATGTATCGACACAAGAAAAGACTTGCAACCATTCTTTTTTTTATCAGGTACAACTCACATAACTCACGTACTCCACACTTACACCATAAGCACAAACACACATGCTCGTCCGTACACACGTAAAGAAGAGATTGGGAGGCATCGCCTCCAGTGTAAGGGAAATGCGCAGCACTACCGAAAGTGCACGCGTGTGTATACTCTGAAAATTCTGGAAAAAAATCCAGAAAAAGATGGAAAAAATCCAAAAAAAGGTGCTATCATCGGGGTTTGAACCCTCGTGGCTGGACCACAGGCCCATTCGCGAGTTGCAACCATTCTGCATACTAGCAACAGGCAGACGCAAGGAAATATCCGAGTTGAAAGCCCTGGATGATGGTGAGCAGTAGCGAGACTGAGATCACTTGTGTAATGAACAACTAAAATTTCGAAGCGCAGGCGACCCACATTGTTCTGGAATTTAGGCCATACATCTGTACCACACTAAGCCATCGTTTTGCTGTCGCAGTTTCCGTTGAGCTCAGAAAAGATAGTGCAAGAAACATGAGAATCAAACATTGTTCATTTAATTACCACGAGCATTAACATGACAAAAATGAGATGCGAACTTGACTGTAACGTGTGACTGCTACATGAGAAGAGTGGCCAACACTCGTGTATCAAGGGCATGGATAAAGAAACAAAGGAAGAGCTAGCAGAATTCATTGAACTGTATCCAATTCTTGCAACAAGATCAGCTTGTCTGTTGTCATTTAATCACAGAAGTTACAACTAACAATCACACAACCACAAAACTAGCTGACGCGGAAGACAGAACTGAGGCAACTTACGCTGAAAATGTAAGCTCTGACGTCCCAACGCCCTTCGAAACAGTGAAGGTCTATGGGGCCAAAGCCCAAGGGAGGTGCCAATTCACCACTGGGTAGAACAAGCGGATCTTTTGACAGCTTGAGATGTAGGTCGATCTGATGCACCTTTTTTAAATGACAAACGTGGATATGCAGCTTCCGCATTTTCTTACTGTTGCTGGTCGGTTATCATATAGATCCAACAAAAATGTTACTGACCAGCATCACTATTACAATATTGGACAAAATCCAAAATAGTATGTAGAATAACTCAAAGGAAATAATCAGGTGTCCTCCGTGTCACATCTGGTTCACCTCTCCTAGGAGCTGGCTCAAACTGCAGGAAAGAATCCAATGTAACTTCAGACGCAACAGTAATGCAATCAAAAAAAGGAAAGAAAAGAAGAGGCATTTCCTTGTTATTCTGATTTTCAAGCATGTGAAATTACCAATTTTCTATAATGTTACATGTACAGACTAAAGAAAGCAGCTACACCTAACCCTGCCGACTACCAATAAGAAAAAAATGTAACCTGAAACAATGAAGAACCAGTTACCTGAATAAATGTGTGATTCCTGCAATCATCAACCTCGAGGATGGATGCCATGTTACCACACCGGTAACAGTAATTAGGTGCGCTGAATATGGTCACCACCTTTTGTTCCTGTGAATTTGGATTAAGAAATCATAGGATCATATCAAGTAAACAAATGCTATATGCTAATCCATGCTGAAAAGTGAAAACTTACATGTGCCCAGTTGTATCCCTCCATAACCAACTGGTGAGCCCGAGCTACAAGTTTAAGATTGTTGGTGTGATTAAACTGTTCCGATATGTCCTGAAAATGAAAGCCACACAGTTGAGAACAAAACTGAAGAAAGAGTATGGCAATAAGTAGAAGATATGGTATATCAAGTACTTGGCCAAAAGTGTATCCAGCGCCCCGAGGAGATATGCCCCAGCCACATCGATCGTCAGGATCAGACCATAGAAGGTCACACATAGGTCCCTCATGAGGGACCTCTTGGACACGATCTAAACTACGAACACTATCAAGATTCTCAATGGATGGAGATAAACCGCCATGGAGGCAGAAAATTTCTGATTCCACCTTCAAGCAGAGAAAAAATGCAACGTCAAAATGATTTCTGAACGAAAAAAAAAAACAAACGACCATTAAATTAAGCCATGGAGCTGAGAGAGTAGAAATCTTAGCATAAAGATTTAAACATCAAAAAGAATGTGTAGCAAGTCCATCAGACCATTTCTAGTATTTCAAATGTCATATTCACATACATATTTATCTGGACTGCAAAGAGAATGGAAAACAAATATGACAGGTGGGTGCTTCAGCACATCATCTCCATAGCAGCCTTTCTTCTATCTTTTTGAGAGTAGTTAAGCCTTAAGTTAATAAATAGCACATGTGTGAATGACGAAATAAGCTTAACCTCGCAGCACTTAATGTCTAATAGATGAATGATAGTGTCATCAACGAAAGACAGTTGCAGAATTAAGTTGGCAAAGTAGCAGTGTAGCACGTGTGGAAAGTAGCTTAAAATCTCAGTACTTTAACAGGTATGATGGATCAATTTCATAAAAGAAATACAATTGCATGAGTCGAGGGACTAAGGGTTTACAAAGAAAGGAAAAGGGCTTAAAGCTGAGCGAACGTACCAATGCTGTCAACGGAAAATAATCAAAAAGATCGGTGAAGATCTTCCAGACATTTGCACTGCCATATCTGTTTTGAAGAATCAAAGACAGTACAACAGAGTCAAACAAAAAGAATCAAGCTAAACACATTGTAGTCAACAACGATAAACAGAAGAACTAAGGAGTTTTTTAGTTTATCCAGAATATGAGTAGAAGAACAGCATGATGAATCAGAGCACTACAATAATAATCAGACAGATTTGAACTTCCTTTACTAATGTTATAGGACATGATTAATAGGACATTTCAAATATACTAGACAACAAAAAAAAATACTCTAAAGGCTCCATGCCAAATGCACTCTACAGAGAAAAGGAAGCATATACATTGTAACTATTACAGTGGAGAACTGAAATAACACTAGGTTGGCAGTCTCTTATCATGGAGGCAGCCCACATGAGCTCAAAACCAGGCACTCGCAAATGTGGGTACCTCCCTGAGATTTCTGGCTAGCTTGTTCCAAGCAGGCAAGGGTTAGGTACAACACCAACACCCCTCTGAGCAATGCCAGGAGGTCATCTTTCCCCCATGATTGTTTTTTTATATATATAATACAAGAAGGATGCCCTGGGCTTTGCTGCGGGGATCGTGGATGATTTAGAATGAAAATTAGATGGCTTATTTTGCTGATGTGGACAACTAAATGCATGTTGGTGGATGATGTGGCTTGATGAAATGGATAGCTTGCACAAACAGATAAACATCATAACTGCATGCTAGTGGGCTGCTGATGTGGATAGCTTGCATGTAGAGATAGATATGCATCCTTAGAGCACCTCCAAAAGTCTTTCTTAAATCACTCTCTAAATCATTTGGAGAGCCATTTAAATAAAAATCGCTCTATATCTTTCCACCCTCCAACAACTTCTTTATACCTTGTGCGTACTCTGTTGGTCCCTGGGATCCCTGCACAGGTAAGCAGAAAGCTTACCAGCACACCCACACACACTCATTCAGCTGAAAGATTGAAGAAGAGGTGAGAACAGCACACACGCACACACAACACCAGCAGCTCGGCTGCTTCTGAAAATGTGAATGGCTGAACTGAACTTCCATTGCCTTTTGGTGTAGTATATGTACATACTACAAGTACCATATAAGGTACAAAATGTACTACTCCTATGTCCTCTAGGACGTGGCTGGTAGCAGCCCACTATATGTACAAATTTGACTAGATGGCTTGCTGCCATTTTTGCTACAGCACCTGCAAGAGGACAGCAGGCTGACTAGCTGCCATTCTTACTAGCTGCCACTCCCGATCTGCAGCAACCAACCAAAAGAGAGATTGGGGAAGCAGCAGATTATGTCTTACAATTCTTCCCCTAGTCCTGCTGCTAACCCGATGCCTTGACCTCAGCCATGCCAATCATCATCCTCAGTTCCGTGAACCGAAGGCGTTCGAGTGACTTGGTGAGGATGTCAGCGAGCTGTCTGCCGGTCTCGACGAACTCGATGACGATTTGTCCTCCATCGACGCAGTCCCGAAGGAAGTGGAACTTGATGTCGATGTGCTTGCTCTGGTCGTGGAGGACAGGATTCTTGGCGAGGGCGATGGCAGGCTGGTTGTCCACCATCAGCGCTGGCGGGCGAGCTTCCTCGCCGGTTAGCTCGCCCAGTAGCCAGCACAGCCAAACAGCCTGGCACGCCGTCGTGGCCGCTGCAACATACTCCGCCTCACATGTTGACAGCGCCACGATCTTTTGCTTCAGCGACTGCCAAGAAATGGAGGTTGTTCCAAGGAGGACGAGCACACCAGAGGTGCTCCGTCGCCCGTCGATGTCGCCCGCCATGTCTGCATCGCTGAAAACCGTGAGCTCTGGCTCACCTTCCTCGGCCTTGGGGGGTGCCTCACTGAAGACCGTGAGGCGCAGCCCACCCTTCCCGCCGTTCTTGGGGAAGATGATCGCTTGATCGAGCGTCCCCTTGACGTAGCGCAGCAGCCTCTTCACTGTTGTCCAGTGATCTTCACGCGGGTCCTCCATGAACCGGCTGACATACCCGACCGCAAACGCGATGTCCGGCCGAGTGTGCGTGAGGTAGCGCAGCCCGTCGACGATGCTTCGGTAGCGCGTCACGTCCACCTTTGCCGCAGTGCTGTGCTTGGACAGCTTCAGCCGCTCCTCCATCAGAGTCGCGCACGGCTTGCACTCCGCCATGTCGCCGCGCTCCAGCAGCTTCTCCACATAGGCGCACTGGCCCAAGGAGATGCACACCTTCCCCTGCTTCACCTCAATGCCGAGGTAGTAGGAGAGCGCGCCGAGATCGCTCATCCGAAAATGAGCCGCCATCTCGCGTTTGAAGTTGTCGATGTCCGCCGCACGCGCTCCGGTGACGATCAAGTTGTCCACATACACGCCGACGATGAGCTCCTCCTTCCCCCGTCGCCGCGTGTAGAGCGCGTGCTCTGTGGCGCATCGAGTGAACCCGAGCTCTCCCAAAGTGGCGTCGAGCTTGGCGTTCCACGCTCGCGGGGCTTGCCGAAGCCCGTAGAGCGTCTTGCGCAGCTTGAGCACCTTGTGCTCCGCGCCCTTGACAACGAAGCCCGAAGCTTGCTTGACAAAGACCGTCTCCGCGAGCTCGCCGTTGAGGAACGCAGACTTGACGTCGAGGTGGTGGACGCGCCAATCCTTTGCCGCTGCCATGGCCAGCAGCAGGCGGACCGACTCCATGCGCGCCACCGGCGCAAAGACTTCCTCGAAGTTGATGCCCTCGCGCTGGACGAAGCCACGGGTGACGAGGCGTGCCTTGTGCTTAACGATGGCGCCGCGCTCATCCCGCTTGACCTTGTAGACCCATTTGAGCCCAATCGACCGACAACCCGCAGGCGGATCAACCAACTCCCAAGTCTGGTTCTCCTCGATCGCCTTCATCTCCTCCAGCATCGCCCGCCGCCAATTGGCGTCGCGCTCGGCCAGCGCGAACGTGGGCGGCTCCTCCGTGCTGACGAGGAGCAGCTCTAGGTCGTCAAGAAGTCGACTGGCCAGCCCAGGAGCTCCCCCGTCGCCGACGATGTTGTCCACCCGGCGAAAACGAACCTCCTCGCCGTCGTGGAAAGTGTCCACGCACTCGTCGATGTTGGTGGGCGGTGAGGCGAACTCGAGCGGAGGTGTCCCTTGTCCTATTGTCGCAGGGGACTGAGGTGGAGGCGTGTGGGCGGCTGCTGGTGGAGGCTGCTCGCCCGCGCTCGCCATGGCCGGACTTGGCGACTCACCCGGTGCTGCCACAACTGCTGGACTTGGCGCATCCACAATTGGCTCCTCTGCTCCAGCATCTCTGCCTCCGCGGATGACCATGTGCTCGATGACGAACATACCGCCAACGCCACGGGCTTCCCCCGTGCCCGGATTCTCCCAATCCCAGGTCGCCATTTCGTCGAACACCACGTCCCGCGAGACCACCACCTTGCCTCCTCGCGGATCATACAGCTGGTAGGCCTTGCTGCCCTCCTCATAGCCCAGGAGCACCATCGGAGTGCTCCTATCTTCCAGCTTGGTGAGGTTCGGCTTCGTCTTCTTGACATGGCCGATGCACCCGAACGTCCTGAGGAAGGAGACGACAGGCTTCCTCCCGAACCAAGCCTCGAACGACGTCATGCCCTTCAGGCACTTGGTGGGCGCGCGGTTGAGGATGAACACCGCCGTGCTCACCGCCTCTCCCCAGAACTCTGCTGGCATGCTCTTTGCTTTCATTATGGAACGAGCCATGCCCACCACCGTCTGGTTTTCGCCGCTCCACCATATGGCGCGGTGGTGGCGCACCACCCCTTGATTCGCGCAGTACGCAGCAAACTCCACCGAAGTAAATTCGCCGCCGCGATCCGTCCTCAGCACGCGCAGCTTCTTCCCAGCCTCAACTTCAGCTCGCGCCTGGAACCCGCTTGATCGCCGCCGCCGCCTCGTCCTTGCTCGTCAGGAGCTGCAGCCACATGTAACGGCTGTAGTCGTCCACGAGCAGCAAGACGTAACGCCGCCCGCCGTGTGTGGCTGGCGTGATTGGCCCACAGAGGTCGCCATGGACGAGCTCGAGCGCGTCCGCCACACGATATTTGGTCGTCTTTGAAAACGGCTGCTTCCCTGCCAGGCAGCTGTCCCACAGCTCGCCGACGTGCTCGATGTGGGGCAGCCCACGCACCATCTTCCCCAGCCGACCAAGCGCATCGAAGCTAAGATGGCCGAACCGGGCATGCCACAGCCACGGCTCTTCGGTGTGGTGCGCCGCCAGGCACACCGGCTGTTCCACCTTCAGGTCAAGCAGGTAGAGTCGGTTCCGGTAGCGCTGCACCTTGGCGAGTAGCCTCTGCTCCCGGTCCCGAATCCTTAGGATCCCGCTCTTGACCAACACCTCGCACCCGCGCTCGTCCAGCTGCCCGATGCTGACGATGCTCGAACGCAGCTGCGGGATGTAGTATACACCCGTCAGCGCGCGGTGCTCGCCGTTCTGGCACCGGAAGATGATGGTGCCACGGCCTCGAATCTCCACCTTCGAGCTGTCACCGAACTTCACCGTGACGGTCACGTTCCCATCGAGCTCGAAGAAGGCCGCCTTGGAGCCTGTCATGTGGTTGCTGGCGCCGAAGTCTAGTTACCACCTCTGCTCCTGCTCGCCGCCCACACGTCCGAGATGGACTTGGGCGCGCGGCTCGTCGAGGTCGACGGTCTTCGAAGCCTTCCCCTGCTCCGCCATCGCCACCTCCTCTGCTTTCTCCTCTGGCTCGACGTCGTGCAGTGCACAGAACGACGTAATCAGGAGAGTGGCCTCATCATCGTCGTCAGCCTGCGCCAGAAGAGCCTCAGCCTTCTTCTCCTGCTTGCGGTTTGGGCACTCCTTTGCCCAGTGGCCCGTCTTCCCGCAGCGCCGACAAGAGTTGGGGTCGACCTTCTTCTTCTTCTCCGAAGAAGCCTTGCCGCGGCGCTTGCCATCGCCGCCGCGACTAGAGAAGGCTTCCCCAGACTTCTTCTCCTTCATCCGGGCAGCCCACTCCTCGGTCAGCAGTAGCTTGCCGTTGTCCGTCGTTGCCGTGGCCTGCTC